GAGCCACTCCATTTTATGATTTATAATTCTGGTCAAATGAATCACAGGAAAACCTTTTGTGTCCTTTGCATGTGGAAGTTCTTATTTCAATGCGCTAGACCTCCTTTGCTTTATTTCATACAATCCACTGTTGTTAAAATTTAATTGGGTAATTAGCATTGTTAGAAAAAGAACAAAGACTTCATGAAATTGTCATTCTCTCCCTTTACTACACTGCAATGAAACACTCTACAAATGATATCCAGAGGCCTGAAGACAGGCTGCATGAACAGTTCTCTAAACATTTCAACAGTTTTCTTGTATTTACCTTCAGATAACTGTTTTCCTCTTCACTCAGAACTATTACTGATACTGTTTATATTTCACTTGGAAGCAAAGTACACTAAAACCTACGTATGACCATTTTACAGTTTAGCCTCTAGCTGGGGAAAATCATTACCAGTTGGGAGATGTTGGTAGAGTATTACCAGAGGACTTGCTGCTAAATGGAACAACATGGAGACAGAAAGCATTTCATTAAGTGATGTAAGAAGATATTTTAAGGAAAACAAGGTGATCATATGGGAACTGTGTATGAACACTGCATTTATTCTCTTTCCCTCATTAAAAACTATTTCTCAAAAAAATAACAGTAGTACAATCACTTTTCGCTCAGAAAATTAAAATTCGTTATCTGATACTTTGGACTGACTAGTTTTTAGCTGGTGTTATTCATAAGAACAGTGCTGTACTGTAGCAGTAACCAGAATGAGTTTAAGATTTGCTCTGACACAGTGAAAGAACCAGTTACAGTGTAAGCAGGATATTATCTAAATTCACAGATGAAAGATGACATGACAGGAAAATATACCATGTAAATAAAAAAAATATACATATACGATATACATACACAATATGAAATCCAACAGACTTATTTTTAGCAAGAAGCTTAATTCTTTGTTAACTGCTCGTTTTCCCCCAATATAACCTGTGTCTTTTCTTACTGTAACTAATTCACTCATAAAATAAAATTGGAAGTTACATATTGTAATTTGTAGCAGATACACAGAGAATGTTCCACTGCCTAATTTGTCTCGAGTGCTTCTTTCATATTGCCCAATTCTTACCTTAGCAATTTTTGATGTTACCATCACTTTTTCCTGCTTGACAGGTTTACTTTGTTGCACCACTTGACATATGTCCTTAGACTTCCGTACCATTAAAAATTCGTGCTTCCTCTACAACAAAATGTAACAATGAATTATATTTCACTTGTTACCTATAAAGGAAGCAGGTACCTGTAAGAACAAACCTTACTTGTAGATTCTCTAAACGAGCTTGTACTTTTCTTGCTTGACCTTCCAACTTCTTGTTCAGCTCGGTTACATCACTTAACTGAAAGAATCAGAAAATATTAAAGTATCTGTAAATTCAAAACTCACTTCTTGACTTAATTATCACACTGAAATAATTTGATGTTGTTGCTGAGTGGCTAATGTGTTTAAGTTCAAGTTTTTTCTTCTGAGTACATAAAGCGACAGAAACAAAATCATCATCCACCTCCTCAACAAATCTCAGTAATCACAGACTGGTTGAGGTTGGCAGGCACCTCTGGAGGTCATCTGGTCCAAGCCCCCAGCTCAAGCAGGGCCACTGAGAACCAGCTGCCCAGGACCATGCCCAGACAGCTGTGGAATATCTCCAAGGGGGGCGACTCCACCACCTCTCTGGGCAACCTTTTCCAGGATAAATAAGACAGCAGTAGCTCTTTGTTGACCTGCAGCCCAACCTTTCAGTTTGCAGGGGAAGAATAAGCACTACAATGCCCATCTAGATATAAAGGCACTACACATTTGATTACTTTTCATGAAGAAGTGACATAAAAATGGAGTGCACATTTCAAGAACGGTCCAATAGCCTTGTTAATGGGGAGGGTGAAAGTTTTCTTCTCTGCAGAATGGAACAGTTACTGAGCATGCTACAAAAGCAGTTTGCTCTGTGAGAGAAGATGAGGGAAACTGCAACCTCCATTTAAATATAAGAAACATCCTCTATGCATACAACCATGAACAGCACGTTTATCACAGAAGCCCTCAGTTCGCACAGAAATGCAAAGTTTTTATAGTGAGGGAAAAACAGAGAGACAGATGGGTTGCACCAGAACCATCAACATTCTAGGAGTTAGGTCTGACCTTCTCTAAGAGAAAGAATAAGGCTCTGCTGTAGATTTTTATTGTACTCAGACTATCAGAACTGTAATTAAGTCAATGAATAAAAAATGGTCAAATAGTTTAGATAGCATTTTGAGTGTCAGCATTTTAGGTCAGATTTAACAGTCAAGTGAGATGAAAATTCTTACTCTCTGTATTCCTATGAACCACTGTTCCAGTTTAAGAACTGAGAAAATATTGCCTTAATTAACATTTGTAAAAATAAAAAAAAATATTGAGCAAACATGAAGTTAGAAGTACACATGCTACTTTGTATTAATAGAATCAGCGCAGCAATTCAGCACAGGGTGGATTCTATTATGTTATAAAAGACTTCCTCTCCATCCACTCTCAATTTGCTTCAGAGGACATGGATTTGTCCTTCCTAACAATTAGCTGTTGCTATTGGGTCAGAGGAGTAAGTCCAAGCTTTTTTTATACTTTAAAAGATTAGAAAGGCTAAGTTTCAAGTACTAGAAAAAAGTGCAGAAAGTACTTTCAGTCATTCATACAATTCTTGTCTTACAGAAACAAAAAATCAGCAATTTTGCAAACTTAAGCTGTTCAAATATTTAAAATTGTTGACTGTAACTTATAAAATAATTGATAACAGGAAATAACTAATTTTACCTGTTTTCTTAAAGAGTCATTCATTTCCTTCAAGGTGTCAAATGATGACTTCAGCCTCCTATTTTCTTTAGTTATTTCTCTCAAGGCTTCTGTCAGCTGTTTAACTTCTGCCTCGTGTTGCTATAGAAATATCGAATTTAAAAACTTGACTTACAAGAGACTATTTTAGAAACAATTCTAAGCTAAGTTCCATTTTAGTGTTAAAATAATAGGACAAACTTTCGAAGATCGAGTTTGTAATTCTGCACGGCCAAATTTGCACATTCAACCAGTAGTGAGAAAAACAACATCCACACTGCATATTAAGAAGAGTCTATAAAGAAACTGATAGGAAGGTGCACAGCCTATTGGTCTTATTCTTTCCAGATTCTACCCAAAACAGATTATATCAATATGTAGATTTCCCAAACAAGTCAGATGTGGGTAGTGTTTGTGAACTAGAATAAATGACAAAGCTTTTATTTACAGCTTATTCTTCCATATAATTACAAAAAATTGTGATTCTGTTTTGCAGCAACTTTTGAGGTTTCAACTAGTTTTTCTGGCTTAGCTCACTCTGAATCACGCAGAACAAGAAACTAATCCTATGCCTCATAGACTAGCGCTCTGGTTTACAGCACAAGCATATGAATTGTTAACTACAACCTGCATATCCACTTCTCTTTTCCCTGAATCTTATTTTAGATTGAGTCTTCTCTGGACACCAGTGCTCTCTTTAAGTACCTCAGATTTGATAAAATGGCAAAATTTTACTTTACTGAAAATATTGCAGCTATATGTACTTACTATCTTTCATTTCTCCCCTTCCATGAATTCACTACTCTTCACTCATTCACCCACTCATTCTCTACTTTTCCATTTCCAGTCATACCCTCTCTTCTTACATGAGCAAATGACAAAAATAAAGCACAGTAGAAGTTTAAAGGATGCAAGCCTTGAAGACACCCTTCTCTATATTTCTGCTTGGAAGCTCAGTAACTTCCATTCCAGCTATACAAGAAAACCATCTACAATTCCTCTTTTCCTCAAATGCAGCTCTTCTGCAGCCAATAGGATCAGAACAGCTGCAGGCAGGATGTTCTTGTCTAAAGCACCTACCCACACTTGCCTAAGAAGACAGAGAATCACAGAATCATTTTGGTTGGAAAAGCCCTTTAAGGTCATTGAGTCCAACTGTTAACCCAACACTGCCAAGTCCACCACTAAACCATGTCCCTAAGCACCACGTCTACACGTCTTTTAAATACCTCCAGGGATGGTGACTCCACCACTTCCCTGGGCAGCCTGTTCCAATGCCTGACCACCCTTTCGGTGAAGAAATTTTTCCTAATATCTCTCCCCTGGCGCAACTTGAAACTGTTTACTCTCCTCCTCTCATCTGTATGAAATGACAGATCCCCTTTTCATACCAATAAATAGGCAGACGCTGCCAACATATAATTGAGTGCACCCTATCACATCACATGGAATGTTTCACTTTCGTTTTCTATATACACAGTTAAGAGCTTTAAATAAATTAAATAGCTCCTCTAGGAAGAATCAGTAGAGAAAAAAAGGTAAGAAGAACCAATGCAGTTGTTAAGCCATAGGGTTGTAAGTGATGCCAGGATGTCTAAGCCATCCACTTCCATAATCAAATCGGGTGGTGTCATCCATATCATAACCAGCTATACCATTTCACTCCTGCCAGATGTTTGCCTAGTCTCTTCTTAAGTCCCCCAATACTGGAAACACTGCAGTCTTACCAATCTACCTGTTCGTATGCCTATTTTTGTTAGATCTAGTTTTTCCTAATACTTAATCTAATTTTCCCTTACTACTACTACTTCTACCATGTAGAAGTCATTCTAGTCTAGTCATTCTAGACATGAAAAAAATACTAGTTTCTTCCTCTTTGTGGCAGCCTTTTATGTAGCTGAAGATTGGCACATTCACCCTCAATTCATCCTGTATGTTTAACCCATGCATCCACTCATCAGCCTCTACTGTACATGTACACATTCTGAATAGTATACTGTTTTTTTCAGACCTGCCACATCTTCAATTTGTCAAGATCAATTTTAATCCTAATGTTCTATTTCAGCATGCTTGAAATTCCCCCTCACTTGCTATTTTCTTCAAATTTAATAAATGTGCTCTTTCTCACTGTCAAACTTCTTATTGAAAATAGACTGAAATGGACTGAAAAGATATTCCAGAATCTATGTGCATTCCTTCAACTCTACCATGAACTACTGTCTCACTACAGCTTTACACCAGCTGCATTACATATATATTATACTTTCCTAATACGATTACGAAAATGCCATGCAAAAACATATAAACAATTTCTATTTAAGTCCAGACATATATATAACTACTAGTCCTCTATTAGCAATGCCTGTTACCTTACTGTAGTGGAAATGAGACTGATCTGACAATTTATGATTAACATATACTAGCAGTTATTTATTGCATTGTTTTCTGCATTGTGCCTCCTGTGGTTTGGTCATAGCTTGTTTCAGGATTTATTTATTTAGAGAACTGACAGTAAGCTGATGGCTGTACAACACTTTCCCTTTTGTAAAGAAAGGCACCACATTTTTTAAGTCTTCTAATACTCCATTTGACCTCCACAAATTTTCACAGATAAACCACTAATTTTTCCTGGGTTTTCATCAGCCAGTTCTCTAACTGGTGTAACGTTCTTATAAGCTCAGAAGATTTGAAACATCTAAATTAAGACCTTAACCTATTCCTTCCCCATTCAAAAGTTGAGGTCCTGCTCCTCTGATGCCCTTTTCCCCTTTTTAACATGTAGTCTATCCTCCCTCAACAGATTGTGGGAAAGGTTTATCTGCACACTTCAAAGAAGTGTAATTTCTCAGCTTATGGTTTTGACACAATGTATGTATATTTAAGGACTTCTCTTGGTTACCTTCCGGATAATAACCAAAACTTTCCACAAGACCTAAATTCAACAGCAAACGCTCACAAAAACAGTGTTGTTAATTACTACCTCTTCTTATAGCAAAATCATACAATTTCATTTCTTCCCACCCCCTCAAAGTTAGGTTGATCTTTTCTTCCTTTGAACTTTTTGAGTGTGGGTTTTTTTTTTTGCTAACACTCTCTCTGCAATAGCTGTTATGTCTTAAGATCTCATTGTGTCTTAAAGCCTTCCCAAGGAAATCTACTTCAACTACAGCTAATGCAAAGATACTCATTGAAGTTACATACAATTACAGATCATAATTTTTCTCTAATACTGGTCATACAGTTTTTGCTATTTTAGAAACAAGTCACCTTCTTTTCTAAATTGTAACAGTAAAATGTACGTACGCATCAGACAACTAAATGCACCACCCTGAAACAGAAGCCACACAAAACCCCTAACAATATTTTTTGGTACTTTTTACGTAAGCCTTTCATTTGGGGACTTCAAGCACTTTAAAGAAATAAGCATTATATCCAGCAAACATATGATGGCTGAAGATAAGTACAAACAAGTTAAATGGCATGTAGAGCAATAAACATCATTAAATGTGTTACTGCACCTCTTTTATAATTCCAAATTTTGTGTGAACTTCTTCCTCAACACCTCTTATTTTAGCCAAAGCTGCTTCATGTCTAAAAAGCAATGCTTCTCGCTCTGTTAGCAAATGCTCTCGTTTCTGCAGTTGCAGAGCATACTCCTGCTGTGCTGAACTTTCTTTCTGGATCAAGAAAAAAAAAAAAAGTTGAAATGGCTTTAAAACCCATGAAATTGTCACAATTTATACTGAATTTGAATTTTTTCTCCCAGAGATACACTAAACTTTTTGTAAAATCATAAAGTCTTACACAATAGCTTACTAATTAAAAGTATCCTGATGGCCATCTATGTTCAGCTTCCCCACATGTTAACCCAAATGACTTCGATGTGTGTCAGGATGGCTTGGCCTCCCAAAATACGAAATTCAACCCTATACGGTTGTTCAAGTATAAACCTAGAGAATTAAACTTAGGCTTTTGCTTCCAAAAATTTTGGATTAACTGTAAGACAAAACAGAGTCTGATGTGACTGTCTACACTGCACACTAGATTACTATATTGTTTTTTCAAATAGTGGGAATCATCCCTGAAAAAGTGGTGAGGAGAAAGAGATACAAAATTATTTTTATCTCATCTGGTGCAAGAGACAGTCCTGGCAGGGAATCTAGCAGAAGCATGGGAGCTTCTGGATAAAACAATACAGGAGGTTCTCTGCTAGTGGCCTAGGCCTGCTAGGGGATGAACTGTTGGGATTCCCCAGCAGCACAAAAGTAGAGATAAGGCGGAATGGATGGTTTTTGCAGGAGGCTGTGAAGGCAGGCACTCTTGAATGCCTAGAGTCAGGAGAATAGCTTCAGATGCTCTCAGGAGAAGCAATGGTTGCAGGTGTTTCCTTCCATGTCCACAGTGCATCACAAGACATTCTTGATGTAGAAGCACGGTGTTCAAACTCCCTCAAGCTGAATTTTATCTGACCTACCCACTATGCAAGTCAAAGCACCACTACCGAATCAGTGAATTAATTTAGGGGAAGAGGCAGATGATGACAGAGATTTAGTGTGTAAGTCATTGTCATTAGTATAAGTAATAGTAATAAGTAATAGTGATTTAGTATATAAGTAATAGTGATTTAGTATATAAGTAATTTCCAAATTCCCTGTCAAAAGTGAGAATCTTCATAACATTACTCAACAAAATTTTTAAGGTGATTCCAGTTCCTACCTGGAGCTTCTGATGTATAAGAAATAATTCATCATATATTTGACTGATGTGAGGTGGTATTAAGCCTTGACTATTGCATGCTTGAGCATCAGTTCCACTCACAATTTTCCTTACCAAACCACCGGTAATATTTTGGTCTCTATTTTCTTGCATATTTGCAGCCAAATGGGTTGGTAAGTTGCTGCCTATGGAAAGAAAAAAAACATTTTACATTAATAAATTAGTCCTAGATAAATGATGACATGATTGTTGCTCCAGAACAGTGAAAATTTATTTTAAGGCATTTAGAGTGACAAGTATAGAGCAAGAGGTACCAAAATGAGACAGTAATCTCTTATAGAATTACGGAGATTGCTCAAAGCTGTGTTCCATGACTTGTTTGAATTGATCAGGGATCAATGATCAATGGAGTTTTATAAGTAAAACTATCCCCTCCACTTCAATACAGAAATTCCACAGATATCTGTCTGAAATCTATGCACAGACTGAATCATAATATAGCCAAAATCTTCTATTACTTTTGTAAGGGCTTCAGGCAAGTGATTCACTGCTGACTAGACCGTGGCCCGACATCTAAGTTAACAGAACAAGACTTAAGAAACTACTGGACACAACATGAGAAACTGCTAGACATGACAGATTACAGCGTAAGAAGCTCATGAAAGTTGCAGATAGCACAGTGAGGAACGGCTGCATTTCACAAACAGTCAAATGGCCAAAATTCACAGATAACTGAAGGGAAGCATTGGGATCTTTTGGTGAGCGATGTCTTGCAAGGCAAACTGCACCTAGGTGCCACATCAGGCCAAGATTACCTAGGCGACAGTATCAGAAATACAAATTTGGGTTCTGTGCTGGTTTTGGCTGGGATAGTGTTAATTTTCTTCATAGTAGCTGATATGGGGCTACATTTTGGATTTGTGACCAAAATGGTGTTGACAACACAGGGATGTTTTAGTTATGGCTGAGCAGTGCTTGCACAGTGTCAAGGCCTTTTCTGTTTCTCAGCCCACCAGCGAGCAGGCTGGGGGTGCACAAGAATTTGGGAGGGGACACAGCTGGGACAGCTGACCCCAGCTGACCAGAGGGATATTCCAGACCATATCATGTCATGCTCAGCAATAAAAGCTGGGGGAAGAAGGAGGAAGGGAGGACATTCAGAGTTTGTCTTCCCAAGTCACCGTTACTTGTGATGGAGATGGCTGAACACCTGCCTGCCCATGGGAAATGGTGAATGAATTCCTTGTTTTGCTTTGCTTGTGTGTGCGGCTTTTGCTTTACCTATTAAAGTGTCTTTACCTCAACCCTCGAGTTTCCTCACTTTTACCTTTCTGATTCTCTCCCTTCCTACTGAGAGGGAGGTGGGGAGTGAGCAAGCAGTGCGTGGGGCTGAGCTGCCTGCGGGAGTTAAACCACAACAGGTACAGATGTAGCAAAACTCAGGCTGATGAGGAAAAAGTAATTAGGGATAGGTTGTTTATTTGGCAGACAACTACAGAAGAGAAAAGAAGAACAATGAGAAGGAGCATCAAGAAACAGCAAAAAGGTTACTGGATAAGCAAATGATGCAATCAGGGCTAATTGGTGGTATGCATTAGGCAGCCCTGTGGTTGATCATCCATCACAGCTGGAGCTAGACAAGAAACTAAACCTATTGCTCTGCCACAGTGTGTCTGCTTCAGGGGTGAGGAAGGAGAGCATAACTAGTACAATGCCACACAAATCCTAACAGAAACAGAAAAAAAGGGAAAAGAAACCTGAAAAAATGTAGTCATATCTGAATGAAATGTGTGTGATATTTATCAGAGTTTTGTGTTTATTTTGCCTTTGATCCCAAATACTGTAAACCATGCATTTTTCCTGGTGCAATTAATTTTTTTTTTTTTTTATTTTCAGAAAGAAAGTGTTTTCAGAAAGCTGTCTCTCCCCACCCATTTAATACAACTCTGGGTGAGAGTCTATTACAGTTCCATTGATCTGTTCTACCTGGCTTTGAGATTCCTTTTAACCCCTTTGGGGCTGGTTAGCTAGCTATCTGTCTCCACACCTTCAAAAAAATACATCAATGTTCGTCTAAACATAAAACTCCCCACAAGAGACAGAGCTACACCGATTCACAACTCCTCCGATTGCAGCAGCATTTTCAAACATTTGCAGTGAATGAATGCCAGCTGGTCCCTGCTACAATCTTCTAGTTAGAATTTCCTGAGTTAACTGAATAACATAATACTCTCCCTCTACCCATTACCAGTTTTTCATCCTTAAACTGACTAAAGACATCTGACTTAACAGAGTTGTAGTATTTGTTAATGCAGCTAGCTACTTAAAATAAAACAAAACAAACAAACAAAACCCCCCAAACTCACCCTGTTTCTTCATTTATTTTATAAAGTTACCTGGCAGCCAGTTTCATAAAAGGTTGATCTTTCTTTTTAAAATGTATGCTAGTATTGCATCAAGTACGTGTGGACCTCCTAAACTAATTCTAAAGGAGTTACTCATACTTACATGAAAGGTTAAATCCTCAAATTAAAATACATTTGAGCTGGTATTGTATTTCTGAACTGAATGGAAATACATTTACTAGAAAGTTTTTTAAATTACATGTTGTACTTCACAGAGTTGCAAGAATATTTAAAATTCAGTATTCATTACCTGTTTCCACATATATAGCTGGATTTTGAACTGCATCAGTTTCAGAGCAATTCATGGACTTTTCTTCTATTTCTAGACCACTTGAATCACAAAAAAAATCTTGCTCATCACCAAAACTAAAAAAAACACAAAAATGCAATAATCTCAAATTACTCAGTCCCTTTCTAACATGCTACACATAGAGCACTGAGAGAAGTCTGTATAAAAATGTAAACATTGCTCAATCTAAGATTTTGATATTTGATAACAAATAGCAGAGTTAAATCATTTGGATGGAAAGTATTATTACTCACAAGGTTTTAAGCACAACAATTAGTAATGTTGCTGACTTAAAAGTAACAATAACTAGAATTTTCATGCTGTAAGCACACATATGCAGTAGGTAAAACCAACACTCTTCTCTCACCACCAACCACCAAATTCCAGGAAAGTTAAAAATACAACCCCCCCTTTTTAAATTATTTTTTAGTATCTGGTGTAAAGTAGCCCTGAAAAGAGATTTCTTGGATTTGGAATGCAATTATCTCTAAATACACTTAAAGCTGTTCATCAGTCTGAGTTATTTGCTTTCCTCTTAGTTCAGTTTATATCACCTAGTTCAGTTTATAACATCGCTGTATCCCATTAGCAATTCCAACATACACAGATTAGATTAGAAAGTGAGCGAGACAATGCTCCTTATCAAAATCAGCATTCACATTATTTCATACATCGGCCACAAACAGTTCTTTACTTAAGAAAACAAGAATCTTAAAACAACTTCTGGATCTGTGTAATCCGAACATATTCTTTACTCATGGTTTATCTGGATTATGAGAGATGATAAAGGAGAGCTGGAGAGAAAACACCTCTTACCAATCCCAGTCTTCAAAACTTTGCAGGAAATCACTAGAAGATCTGATGATGTTCTCTTTTCCACTTTCAGCAAATTCTGACTCTAAAGAAAATTTGGATAAAGAAATAGTGGTATTTTCCAGTGAGCTGTCCATGTCACCTGGAATATATATAATAGTAACAATTTTATTTTGCATTTGAGAAACTGACATTAAGAAATCGACAAGCGCTTATTGCAAGTGCTTGCCATGTAATCATATAGGTTTAAGAACCAAAAAAACACTGATGCAGTCTAACAAATGAATGAAGAATTATAACAGCTTAAAACTACAGGACGAACTATTTAGTTTTCAAACCAGATTTGTCTTTCTGAAGTTTTACAGCTTGCCTTCATAAACTAATTTTTCTATAACCAAAGTCTGATAAATACATTGTGTTACCCTGCTGTCCACATGCACCAGCAATGTGTGCAATCTCGAGAAGCCCAAAGACATTCTAAATATTAAACGTATATGCATCTTTAAATTTAAGCCAAATGTATGCATTATGAGGTGGACTGCTACCAACTACTTCAAGCAGGACTTAAACACAAACGAGTTGGGAACCGTTGTTTTAAAGCACCCTTTGTGCTCTTTATGTGAATATTAACAAACATTCCCAGGCTGACTCCCAGATATCACAAACCCCTGATCGAGAATATCTACCTATTTAAAATGAGAAAATACAAAACTACTTAAAATAAATTTAGGAATGATACACTTTTTAGTATATATTTTCCCTGAAAAAGACATCAAAGCACCATTGTTTGCTATTACCTTTGTATGCTAGGAAGTTTCTGCTCTTATATTTGGTGTGTAATGCTCCTGAAAGGCAATCCTATAAGAAAGCACAAACCCACTGTAATACAGTCAGAATTTTCAGGGACAGCGAATGTTACAACTTATTCGTTTAACAGTTACAACACCTTGTGACAGAACTCTTACTACAAACCGCTGACTTTGAAAAGGGAATTGTTGTTTTTTTTCAATATATAAATGTAAATGGCCCTCATTAATACAAAGAGGCAAACGTATTCCCCACAGTCTGGCAATAAAATATTCATAGTGTTACATGTTAAAATATTTGAGAGGCTACAAGACACTATGAAGACAGTAACATAAAATAAGGGTATAAAAGTAGGATCAGGTAATCACGGAAACAGTGCCATCTATCTTTATATCTAGGCTTTCTATGTCAAAGTTTCCTGCTCTGCTTTTTCCTAACTCGTAACTACATACTAAGAAAACAAATGACACAAGTATCAGGCTACAAGCAAATCAATTCAATGTACATTAAAAAAGATCAGACTCAAAGCAGCTCTCATGATCTTAGCTGTGTTTCACTGCATCTCTCTGCTATGCTCTAAATGATCAACTGCTGTATTTTCTTGTACTTAAATACTGCTTTTTAATGAAATAACAAAACACACAAACAAATCTAGTATTCCTTTCCTTGCAAGCATTATGCTTTAAAGTCTCAGTGACAGTTTTTTAAAGATAACTTCTGAAAATTATTTTTCTTTAAAGAACAGTTCTGTAATTCAAAGCAGAATATTCCCCAAGGAAAACATAGCATCTAGAGCACCACAAAATGCTACCCAAGTTGCGAATCCTTCTGGAGGAACTAAGGGCAGATACGTCCAGATTTTAGCTGCTAAAGAACTCAAATCCTCACCTCATATTTGGGATGGTTCCTGATCCTAAAATGGCAAGTCACACTTCCTCAGGAAAAAAGGCTGGTTTCTGTATTCATTTCATGATTCCCAGGACCAGCTTGATCTCCCAGTCCAACTATGTGTCTAGCTCAAATCCAGCTTTCAATCCCTCCCAGTCTTGGCTGCTCATGGGTATTTTTACAACATATTACTTCCCCTGCAGCATGAGTCTGAACACTTCAGGTGTTGGACACAGTGGAACCATTTGACCCATGGAATACAGATGCAAGAAACTGCAAAAACTTGTCTCAGTGAAAGACAAACAGACTTCAGACAAAATAACAGCAAGTGCCTCGCCAGTGAGTATTCCTTCCACAAAGTGTCAAAGACTTTTGAAACACCAGCATCTGGGAGCGGTCTTTGCTGCTGGGTTTTTAGGCAGATCAGTTTCCTATTCTACTGTGCAGACCCATAAATGCTTATGTCAGCACAAGCAACAGAAACAGAGGAATCTCAATGCTGTTCCTTCGTTCATATCGGTGCAAAGAACCTGCTGTTCTCTAGTGTAAAATATCATTGCTTTATCTCTGCAAGGGAGTGATACCCATCATAATTTACTGGTCATTATGGCAGTCTCTTACGAGCTATGGGTTTGATTCTCCTCTGGTTGACTAGACACGGAACACTTTCCTGCTCCCTGAAAACAGAGCTAATCGCTAGCTTTACAATCACAAACACTCCTAACACATTCTAAATAAGGCTAGCAACTGCTGTGGCAAAAGAAGATACGAAAGAAATGAGTTATCCTATTATATATATTTTATACAATGCCCAGTATGCTATTTCTAAGAGGATTCACATACTATCTTGCCCAACTGGCAGGCACCAGAAGGTTTTAGGCAAAAACTAAGTGCCAAGCTGCTCAGATCGTGTTTTGGGAATGCACAAAACTTGGAACAAACTAGGGAAATTTCAAGTTCAGAGAAGGATGACTCTAGCCCTTCCACTGCAACGCAACCAGAGCAGAGGGACAGGGGTAGGACTAGAAAGAACACGCTTTCCACGTAAGCTCCCAAAGTCTGTTTAAATCCCGTTTTTTGGCTGTCACCGCCGATACGCGTATGTAATACCACAGCGCTTACAAGGAACCCCCCAGGAAGAGACTCCCCGGCCTCCAAGCGCCTCAGGGACGAGGCGAGGAGGAACGGCTTTCCTCCTCCTCCTCCTCCTTCCTCCCACCTCCCTCCCCCGGCCCTCCCGTCTCACCCCCGCCGGCCCTCGCAGGTAGCGCCGCTGCAGACGCCGAGGGGAACGGCTGAGGCCGGGGCCCGCCATTCCGCACCGCCCGGGCTCGAACCAACCGCCACCACCGGCGGGCGGCGGGCGCAGGCGCGGTAGAGGGAGGGCGGGAAGGCGGCGGCGCGCAGGCGCAGAGCCCGTTGCCCCGTGGAGGCGGGAAGCGGCGGCTGCTGAGGAGAAGCGGCGGCTCCTGAGGAGAAGCCGCGGCGGGGGCAGGGGCGGCCGGTGCTTCCCGCCGCCGTCGGGACAGGCCCGCCACAGCAACGGGCGGTTCGCTGGCCCCGGCGGGACAGCCAGCCCTTCCCGCGGTGGGGGGGTAGGCCCCAGCCTCACACAGGCAGCCGAAGGTGGTTGGGGATAGTGTTCTGCAGTCTAATGCTTGGGGAGGAGGTTTGGGGAAGAAGTACTGCTATCCTGTGGAAAAAAACAAAGCAGAACAAAAAAACAAACCCAAAACAACCCAAAAAATAGCTTGAGGCTGCATATTTCCAACTTGCAGACCGTAACACCAGATAGGCGACACTGGGAAAAAAAAACCCTTGATAATGCCAGCACTGAACTGTAGATTAAAAGTTTAAAAATAAAAAAACCCCAACAAATCCACACTTAGTCATGCATATTCACTGTCGAGAGACAAAGCTTTAAAAGATAAACCGACCCTGACCAACGCACCCTCCAGTTAGTCAGTTCTGCAGCAAGGTCAGCGCAGTCTGCCTCAGGAATCGGAGCCAATATAAACATTTAAGATAGCCAGGAGAGCCGCATCATAGCACGAGCAGTGGGTTATACTGCAGCATATTTCAGGCAAAATCCAGATATTAAGTACATGTTTTCCACTCAGCTAAGTCATTTAGAAATATTCTATGTACAACAAAAAAGTTGGTACACTTTTTAGCAAAATACTGATCAAAACATTTAAGAACCATTCTTCAGCTTTCAAATACTGAAGTGTTCTTGAGGGACTTCAGACCTGCCGGCTGCCTCAGCTTACTTTCCAGAGATTAGAGTAAATGCGTGAAGTTCCAAAGGCCTTCAGTTTACTGACCAGCAATTAGCACCTACAATTTGCATATTCAAAATAGAGATCTAAGAGAGCAGGAAGACAAATTAGGCAAGTTTTCCTTTTTTTAAACAAACCAAAAGGGAAGACAAGACATTTATTTTAACAAGACTAAGATTTAATTTTTAAAATTTGACATTTAATACAAATATGTCAGGATAACACAAATACACCTGAAATATGC